CCTGTTATGAGATGTTCTCTATGAATCTTGCAGAGGCATCAGACTTCTCACTGACACTGAGAACTTTATGCTAGGTAAATCCCACGGCACACCTAGAAGACAGGTTCCCTGAAGGCTGGTCTTTGTTGTATTCACAGCTGTATCCACCACACCTAGAAAGTGCTCAGCACACAGCAGATGCTCCCTAAATATGTGTTCTGTGAATAAATGAGCAAAGAACCAAGACAGACATGGTTCTCCAATTTCTCACAATACCTGACATAGGCATTATATGCATGGTCCTGAGTAAAAGCATCACTAAAGTTATTGAAATGTACTCCATAACGCTATCTTGGCTTCATTCCTGAAGTGACGTACTGGCTGTATTTCAAACACAAGTCTAGTCACTTAGTTGATACTACAGATTCTGAAAAGGAAAGTCTTCAGATCTTCTCTGATACCTCAATAATGTGATAGCATGTATACTTTTACTTTTCAATTTTAACATTAGGATATTTTTAGCATTATAAAGAGTCTTATGGTTAATATTAATAGTTGCCCCACATGGAAAGTTTCAACAATGATTCTCTCTTATTTTAATACGTGAGGGGCCAAAATATACCTATTCATCAATCGCTGAAGCTCATTCACTGTGCTTGGTGGCAGAATGAGATTTCCTAGCAGTAGAACTCCCAAATGTCATTATCCTACCAATCTGTCAATGCTTGTTGTAAATGAAAACAACGCTTCCCCTGTTAACAGGGTGACTATGTCAGAGAGTAATTATAACCTGAAGTGACAAAAACATATTCACTCCACATGCACTAATGAATGCTGATGATGCACTGAACCCCTGCAAATGTCCTGCTACATCAGAATCACTTACATATGAGTCTGTTGACAAATGCCAGATGGCCAGTCTGCCATTAGATGGGTCAGATAATTCCAACAATGGGTCATTCGAGGCTGAACCCCTGCTGACCTGGAGACCAAGGCCAGGGGAAGTGGAAACACATACCCAGGAAAACCTATGAAACCGTTACTCAGGAAACAAAAACACTAACCTGCCTCTTCAGTCCTTACTTTTTCTGAGGGTAAACTGGGTTCTCCACCTCCGATTTTGTTACTGGCCACAATTCGAAATTCGTATTCCACCCACGGATTTAACTCGACCACCGTAGCTGTGTGCGTTTTCCCATCAATGACCTCAGGCACTGCAAAGGAGTATTTCACAGAGGTGAAAGTCTGTATGTCTGAGCACTGACCTGAAATCCGTTTATAGTACCAGTGGCATCTGTATCTCCCCCTTTACCTGTTGAGGCCGTCTGCCAACCCACAGAGAACGGTGTCCGCGCCTGGACAGAATAGGCGATAACCGGGCTATGGTTGTCTGTACCTTCTTTCCAAGATAGTTGAGCTGTTGTATCTGTAATTTCATCTACCTTACGTTTTCCGGTGGTCCAGGTGAACCTGAGAAAGGTGATAATGCAAACCACGGCGAGCAATGCCATAAATGTCATCCTCTATCAAAGTGGAGAACAAGTCACGTGACACTTTAACATCGCCAATGGATCCCAATTTCAAAAACACTTAGGGAACAAATCCAGATTTAAAGCCAGAGCTCAAAGAAATAAACAAGTGTGTCTGAAACAGTACAGAAAATAAAACCATAGCCTATAGTGTTTAATAAATTTTTTTTGTACAATTTGATTAATTTTGATAGATGGATACACCAGTGAAACCACCACCACAGTCAAGTTCTGACCTTGGTGAGGGCCACTGGCCACAGCTGTGCAGGGTGCCTGACACAGGGAAGCCTGGCCAGCAGGTGAATGGAGGCTCTTTATCAACATGAGCCAAGAGGAAGAGACTAGGGGAAGCCCTTTCATTAGAATTACACAATGATGTAAAAATAAATTTGAGATTTGTACAGTCTTACTTTTAGGCACTTGAATATAGTGAGAGGAGACTAAAACACAGAAAAAAATACTTAGAAAATAAAGGACATTTACCCTGCAAGAAAGCTACTACTTTTTAACTTTCACATTTCTGTTGTTAGATATTAAACCTGGATGTGAGTCAGGGATTCCAAAATCCTAATACTCTACAATTGCGAATGACATCTGCTTTTTGAGTCCTCTGTTCAGCAGGATTCCTGCACCTTTCCAAATTCAACATGCTTTACTTTTGGCTTGATGCCTTTTGCATTCATCTACTGGTACATCTCTGTAGTTCCTAGTCTGTTATCAAAGCTGTTTTATTCTATGATGCACTCTGGTCATTTTTCAGCCCAGCAGCAAATCAGTACTCTGGACAGGAGCTCAGATTGGCAAATTTTCTCAGGCATGCTGGATGATTCTGGTTTCTTTGGAAGGAGACACACACACACAATATCACTATTCTCCTTCATACTAAACATCGCTGAATTAATGGCATGCTCAAAAACACATCAGCTTGGCAGCAGCTGTGGGATGCTTATTACAGTGTGAGCTATTTGAATGGCAAAGTTGAGATTTTTATTTCTTTGAATTAGCCATCCGTATTGTCACGTCTTCTGGTCTATAGTGGGGGATGGGACTCAAATCAATACTGTAACTCGTATGCTCATAAGCTATCTCATTATAGTCTTTCCTTCCGTAAGAAATGATCAGTTAATATGCAAAATTAAAAAAAAACACATCAAGCCGTTAATATTTACCTCTAACTATGAGGTCGGCGGCAGATGAAACACTGTCTACCCCCGTCTGCACCATACAAACATATTTTCCACTGTGTTTCAACTGAATGTTTCTGATCATTAAATCGCCTGATGAACTCTGTTGGAAAAAACAGGTAATGAACATATCACTATATTGAAAACACAAAAAATCTTGAAGGCTATGGCCAATAACACCATTGGGATACAAGCTATATTTAGAGAGAAGACCAAGGTGGTTATAAGGCAGAAGACTGCAACAATGGAAAGGATAGAAACAGAAACACATTAAAAGCCATACATGACTGCAGACACGGACTTCTGTAGCTAAATAAATGGCACGCTTTCCCCTGGGCATTTATGGTTTCAAAAATAAATAAGGGCAGAGATTACAGTCTCAGAGTCATTTACTTCCACCAGGGTGACAGTTCTTTTTATATCCACTGCTCAGCACCAGCTCGACTTTTTTCTCTGGTTCCAACCTCCTTGCAATTATCTGCCTGAGAAGAAGAGGGAAGCATTTAGGTATCTGCTGGGAGATAAACGCGGCCCGACAAGGGGATTATCATGGTTGAAACACTTTTCTGAACACACTGGAGCATTTAAAAAGACTAATGCTATTTAATTCCTTTGCTATAGAATTTAGGGACAGTCAGTATGAACCCCTGAATAAAAAATAAATTAACACATTTTAAACCAAAAAATAATAGCTGTCCATAAAGACATTGGTGGGTGCTCCGTGAAGCCAATTAATGAAGCAAATGTATTTCTAAAAGCTCAACTTCAAATGGTCTTCGTTTTAAAAGAATGTAAAATCACACTCATAAAATGACTAACTGCAGGCCAGTGTCATGCATTAGTAAAAGTATGGATTGAAATAAAATGATTTGGAAAGCAAAGCCCTTGGGAAATGATCACTTACTGGAAAATCTCTAAACTGGTACAGCAGAGGAAGTGATCAGTGATTTGTTTTATTAATTAAAAGGATAGTTTTAATCTTGGGTTTTCCAAGTATTTGTTGAAAGATAGATTCTCCTATCATGCTTTTAGGTCATTTCCTAAGATCTCCTATAGGGTAATTTCTTAAATATTGCTTCCCATCCATAGGATTCTTAATGGGGTATCTATTCTCTGTTGGTTGGATTGTATGGCTTTAGCCTAAACTTCGTGTGTACTGGGAAAAGGCAGATGTGAGGTGATTGATGGCTGTAATTAAATGATAATCCAGAAACTGTTAAGCTTGCACATTTTACTTTCATCAAGTTAAACTTTTTCCTTCCCCTCCCTCTCTTTCTCCTCAGGGCTATTTACAAATTTATCCCCAGGACAAACCCTTCAATGCTCGCTGACCTTTAGAAACTCTTCAGGTTTTATGAGCTCCATATACTCACAGGAGGTTGATTATCATTTCTATAGAAATCTCTTATTTTCAGTGAAGTAAGAACAGTTACTATTAAATTCCATGAAGGCATTGGGGTGAGTTATTATCCTTCCCTGCATTTATTTGCTTATTTTGAAAGCAGCTGGGTAAAAAAGAGAATTGGAACCAGGACTTTCTTTATGTCCTTAGACACATGCATATAGCTTTTAGGCATATAAGCTGGTTTTTGTCTCCTGAAGGGGTAAGGAAGAGATTAATGTTGGACTTGTTATTTCTGTTCACTCTGGTATTGATGGGTGAAGAGAGACATAACTTAGCTACACTGTATAATAACCAAACCATCTTCCTGAAGGAATGCAGCTAGGCTCACCATCAGGGGAAATATAATTTTTAATTATTTTTTACACTGTAGGGTGAAAAAGGAAGCAATGAACATGTAGACAGTAGGAACCACTGATTTTTTTTCTGTACCAACATGAAGTAGAGCGGATCAATACATTTAAGGAAAATAACAAAATTAAGAAGGAATTTGTCCTTAATTATTGTCTCTCTCAATAGAATACATTCGTGTTGTTTCTCTTCTAAGTGCTTTTTTGCTCTCACCCTATCTACTGCTGTTTAATGGAACAATATATAGAATCAAGATGCATCTTAACAAAAGGTCATTGAACACTTGCCGTATGAGATTCACTTGAGCGTAGAGAAGTGTTTTATACACGATCTCTGCTCTCTCGATGTAAACCCAAGTCAGGGTAATAGATATACATGGGGAACAAGTTATTTTTACAAATTTAAAATAAGTTTATTTAATAAAGGTTAAATAAAGTCGCATGGCACACGCCATATGTATACAATGAAAGAAGCAGGAAATTCCCAGCCCTGATGAGGACATGTAACAACCGAACTCATATCATTCTAATGCCAGTGTAGACTGGCGCAACTACCTTAAAATCTTGTTTAAAAAATACCTACTAAGGCAGGATATGTGTGATCTACAACCTGGCAATTCCATTCCTAAGTATATACTTTGCAGAGATATGTGCATGCATTTATCAAAGACATTTACAAGAACGTTTATAGCAGGACTGTCCATAATAGCTACTGAATAGAAACAGCCTAATGTCCATCACAATAGATTAGTAAGTAGTGGAACACTCACTTAAGGAAATACTGTTAGGCCATGAAAATCAATGTGCTATAACTACATATGTCAACATGGCTAAGTCGCAACATAAAAGATACAAATCAGATAGAAAAGATTACAATGATACTAATCGATTATGTAACAAACCTAGACTGTAGCTACCTTTGGAGGGACAGTGTCCTGCAATGAGGCACCTTGGGAACTTCTGGAATATGGGTCATGTTGCTTCTGATTTAGTGTTGGTTACTTGAGTGTGTTCATTTTGTGAAAATTCACTGGGCTGTAGACTTATGATTTGCGCATTGTTTGGTAGAATATAATGACTCTCAAAATGCAGTCATTATTCTTTACAACTATAGCTCTAACTGCTTCTCTTTAAATAGGACCGCAGGCTGAAGTGATCAAATAACGCGACTGTGGTTATAAACTTCAATTTCTTCCAGAAGAATTAAATGTTTAATAACAATAGAAGTGCTATTAATTAGACCATCCTATAATTTCTTATTAAGATGCAATTGATTATGCCTAGGCATTTAATAAAAGTTAAAAAAATGAAAAGGAAATTCCAGAGGGAATTTTCACTTACATCAAACCAGTTTCTGTCCCCATCAATTTTCACTGTTAAAGGTTAGAAAATAGTTCATTATTGATTAATTATGATAAAGGGGATAGGACAGGAATGTCCAAAAAAATACAAGTAAAATTAGTCTAAATGTGGTAAACAGTACTTAATAATTTTTCAATACATTTATCAGTAAAACTGCATCTATTCTTTACATATAATTAGAGGCATGCTTGTCATTGTTTAGAGTATAAACAGAATTCACATAAAACAATGTATGGACATTACCAACATGAATAATCTTCGAATAAATTCTTAGGAACACTGATAACTCTGAATAAAAATAGCTTCTACTTTATTGTCCATTAAACTAGTTAGTCTTTGTACTGTTTTCCTACATCCTCCTTTCTCCCTGTTCCCTCAAATACAACAGACTAGAACTGGGAAGACGCAGAAGCAAAGCTTCGTTTTCTGTACTTCCCTGTCTCCCTTTCCCTTAAAAAGTCCCCCTCAAAGTGCAGCAGTGTAATTCCCAGTCTTTCCAGAAAGTAAGGCTTTCTTCTATTCTATTTCTATTCTATTCTATTTCTTTTCACAGAATTATTTGAAAATAGAGCTTTTGGCAGTGGGAGAAGCCTACTCCTACGACTTAAACACAGGTTTAAGAAGAGGAAGACATTCCCTATGTCGTATGAATTTTAGCTCTTTCTCAAAAGTAGTGCTATCTTTTTAAATAGGATCGTTCATTCAAAATTATTTTTTAAGCAACGGCTGTATCTGGGGATACACTGGTGTTGGAAGAAAACCGTCTTTATGTTCATGGATCTTACAGTTGAAAGACAGCCATTAATCAAATGACTACAACAAATCAAAGTAAAATCACAATGTAATGCAAGTTCAGAGTACATAGAGGAATCTATGATTTTCTGGCATCTCAATGTGTTGATAGTTGAGCTAAGATTTGCAATATGGGTATAAGCTACCGAGCAACAGAGTATAAGAAAAAAATGGTCTACACTAGAGGTTCATATTCACATCTTCACAACAGTAATTTTTCTTATATTTGAAAATATTCTTAAGCTTTGCTAGAATTACTTAATTGTCTAATTATTTTTTCATCTAATCATATAGGTTTCTCCTAGAAAAGATCACATTTCCAGACCATGTTATAGGTATAAACAGTATATGGATTTGTAAATCAAATCCAGATTTAAAAAAAATGGCAAGAGAAAATCCAGTGTGCATGAAATGAAATAGAAGAGGAGCTTATTAGCTTTTCCCTATATTTTCTTAGGTAATGATGCTAATAGAATTTTTGATGTAATTTAAAAACCACTGTGCGTTGAAAGAAAAACACTACATGATGTGCTAACCCAAGCCAGGTGAAAATCAGTAAGCAGATGGATCATTACTAATTACAGGTAAGCAGAAAGCACACTGTGATATCTACCATATGCTAAAAATCAAGGTATAACTTAAACCCTGGAACCCACAGAAACTTCTTGAACAGTGCAAATGTAGCATGAACTTTCAATATCACAAACCACTGGCAGAAACCAGTTTCCTAGGAAGCACTCTTGATGTAAATGCTGCTGCTGGGCTGCCAAGAAGCATCAATTTTCCAGTTTAAGGGGGGCTGGAGACATTATGACAACTATTTGGAAGGCAATGTAGAATAGAAGCTTCTCCTGCCTTTTTTTTAAAATCACTTTTCACAGCCTGTTATTGTATAGATTCCAATATTAATTATTCATCCCAACACCAGGTTGCCTTCCAAGCGCTGACACTGCATGTAAATCATACACAGCCTTGCAAACAGTTGAACACACAGGTAACTTCTGGAACCTGAGTGGTGTTTTTCTCTGTGAAGGTTCCTGAAGAAACTGGTGGTAGACATGACTCACCTCTGTATTTCTGACCAACCAAGTGAAACCTTGCCCCCCACCAAATGCAAATGGCTGCAACAAGACCACCTATGTTACAAATGTACACAGAGCGCCCAAGCAACAGAAATGACCGGCAACCACTGAAACA